GTGACCGCTGGAGCAGGCAGTGGAGAGCGGATGGGCAGGGCTGGGAGCCTCAGGCAGATGAAACAGCATTCCATGCTGCCAACTGCTTGGCACTACAACACCTCCTTAAGCAAGATACTGCTCTAGATACCACAAGCCCTACTGAGAATGGGTGAGCAAACAGTGAAAAACCAAACATTCCCATCAAACAAGTATCCACAACAACCTGCAGCATCTATACCCCACCAAACTCAACAGCAACTTCCAGAGGGAGCACAACCCACACAGGGATGGATTCACCTCACTGCAGCACCTGGGGAACACAGGTTTCACTGCTGTGTGCTGAGCAGGCACATCCTGAATATGAGAGCTGCTGGTAGTCCTCGTGGTTTGGATGATTGGCATCTTTATCCCTCCTTGTCCCTCCTCTGTGGATACACACTCAGAGCACATTTGGTGATCCCCATCTGTTCCACAGCCACACCACAGCCTCATCTGTTCTTTGCATGGAGGCTTAGGAAGGGAGATGGACCAGCTGGACCCCAGAGGTCCCTTCCAACCTCAACCAGTGAGTGATTCTTGAAAGGTGCAAAATACTCTCTGAGCACACCCAAATCCATGCAGGTTGCTGATATAACCCAGGGATCTGTGCCAGCCTCACCCCAGGTCTCTTGGGCTACCTGTCCTGCTGAGGCTGCCAGACCTCCCAGGGCCAATGCCCAGCCTGAGATCTGGTAACAGAAAACATGCAGACAACCACCAGGTGATTCCCTGCAGTCACCTGCTGCTTTACCAGGAGCTTCTTTTCCAAGAATCTCATTTCTCTGGGCCCTGGTTTCCCTAGCAAGAGACACACAGAATCATTTATTGGGAAAAGCCCTCTACATAGAGTCAAACAGTACCCCCAGCACTGCCAAGACCACCAGTGATCCATGTCCCCAAGTGTCACATCCATATACTTTCTGAACAATTCCAGTGATGGTGACTCCACCACTGCCCAGGGCAGCCTGTTCCAATGCCTGACCACCTTTTCTGTGAAGAATCTTTTCCCCAGCATCCAACCTGAACCTTCCCTGGCACAACTTGAGACTGTTTCCTCTTGTCCTGTCCCTGTTATCTGGGAGCAGAGCCCAACCCTCACCCAGCTGCACCCTCCTGTCAGGGAGTTGTGGAGAGCCAGAAGATCCTCCCTGAGCCTTCTTTTCTCCAGACTAAGCACTGTCCTGGTGTCCTCCAGACACTTCTGCTTGTGCTGCACTCAGAGCTGAAGTGCCACAGGAGGAGACTGAAGGAGCAGCACAAAGCCACATTCCTCCACACAGCGCCCTGCCACAGATCCATATGCCAGAGTTCAGTTATTAAAATTTCATAACCAGCCTCAAAACAACTCAGAGCCTACAGAAAAGGCCTCTGTGATGCTGCCCAGCAGTTCTGACTTGCTGCTGTTCGTATATTTAAGCCAAGGGCTCACAAACATACAGGACATTTAGGCTTGCCCGGAGATTTTTCCCCAGAAGTAAGAGGTGCTCTGGGGAGCAGGGGGTGGCAGACAAGTGCCCTCCCACCACCTGCCAGCAACAAAAGCAGGTCCCCTCACTTGCCTCTAAAAACAGGGAGATTTACATATTTTTAGCACATCATAATAATAAAATAAAAGAATAATAAAAGAGTGTGTTTCTCCCTCCACAGTTATCAAGACCCAGAGGTATTTCATTTTGCAAAGGCTTTTATAGAAAAATAAAAATCTTTTGCAGTACGCTGCAGGAAAGCCCAGGAAATAAATATCCTCTGGAAGAGGAGGGAGTTCAGAAAGCTTCAGCCAAAACAAGTAGTGGGCAGAGACACTTAGGTCAGCTGCACAGACCTTGCAACCCTTTACCCAAAAGCCTCTCCAAAGAGCAAAATCCAGAAGTTCTCAGCACTCAACAGGACCCTCTTAATGAATCCTGAGACTGAGGAAGAGGTGAACAGGAATATCCCCTTAAATCTCATCAGGAGACAGTTCACAGCCCAAATTCCTTCCTAACCCCTTACAATGTGGAAGGATGCACCTTGGAGAAGTGCCACCATCCCTTCCAGCAGCAGCTGGAAGCCACTATGATCCTACAGCTCCCAAACCATTCTATGGTGGCAGCCACAGCAATGGAGCCTGCTGCCAGCACCCAGTCTGTGGCACTGCCCCTTCCTGTTCCCAGCTCCAGGAAGGGTTTGGCACGGGAAGCTTGGCCACAATGGATCCCCAGGCTCAGCTGAATGCTCCCACCCAACAAGAGCTCAGGCCAAGCACCTTCAAGCACATGAGCAAGATGGAGCCCAAGGCGACTTGCAGCTGAGCCAGAATTTGTCTGGCTGCACACAGCTATCAGGGCAAATTTAAACCAAACATCTTTGCCCTAAGCAGAGGTTTCTGCAATCAGATCACTCCAACATGCACCTAATACCTGGTACTTCCAGTCTTTCAACAGCTGTGTCCTCCTGGCACACTGGGAAAGGGACATGCTCCTATTTAAATGCTGATACACAGAAAGAGACTGCAGCCCCATCCAGAAAAGACCAGGGACTCAAATGTGATTATCACAAGTCTGCTGCTTCTAACACTAAGGCCTTTTTCCTACTCCCTCTTGTCTCCCTGTCTTCAGCAGACAGGGAATTCCACACCATCAGTCTCACTCAGGCAACAGGAGACAGTGAAGCCTCCTCCCAGGTTCTAAAATCTTGACAGCCAAACAGCTCTGATTTCTCCCCTTATTCCCATCCCACCACTAGGGATGATTCCCCAACTCCCCCATCAAGTACAGACCAAAGTCACTCGCTAAGTATTTGTGTCCCTGTTTTTCTGCCAAGGAAGGTTTGTGTTCATCCCTGAGACAGCTCAGAGCTTCTTGGCTCTGTGCTGCTCCACAGCAGCCAAAGCATTATCAGCTTTAAAGGTGGCTGCAGGCAGGGACAGAAAATCAGCAGGAAAAGCAAAGTCTATCCTAGAACTCCCACCCAGCCTCAGATTGACTCCCCAGTACTCCACTTCCTTCCTACACTACATGACTCCAGGGACGAGGACATGCACAGGCAGGATACCTACCCTGACTTGTCTATTGACTAACTTAATTTTTTAAAAGAATGTATTTATCTATTCCTCTCTGGAAACCAATCACCCGCTGCTCCTCGGCCCAGCTGTTCCCGGGGAGCGGCGGCCCTTTGATGCCTGGCAGCCTGGCTGATCTCAGCAGGGCTTTTGAACCCACGTCCATAATCACTGCCTGGAGCCAGTTCTTCCCACGCAACTCGCTGCTCAGTGAAGCAGAGCCGGTGATCTTCCTGTCTCCAGGAACCACACCACACTGAGTGCTCTCCCTTTAGCAGGGGAAGAAGGAATTATCACAAAAGCCACTCCTGTCCCCACAGGACACCGGCGTTATCTGCGCCAAGACCGGCAGTTCCTGTTCTTGCCCCAGCATCCGCTCCACCACCAAGGCTGGCTCTTCAGGAAATTTATTTCCACATGTCAAGATATCACTTAGTTCCTCAAACTACAGACTTGGAGTCGTGAGCAGCCTCAGTTGCCACACACGAGGCTGCAGAGACACTGCCTCTTTTAGTACCCAAGGCCAGGTGTACCCTAAGTTCCTAGATTTTGGTTCTGGCTGTCCATAGCCATAGTAGGGATTTCATCTGTGAGCTGATACACCTTCCCAACTCCTCAAGGCAACAGAGGGATAACCAGCAGTCCAGAAGGGAAAATCCTGAAGGAAGAATCCAGCTCTGTCTGCAGAATCCCTCTAAACCAGAGGGAACAAACCCACACAGCACAGATCACCAACCAGAGCTGTGGACCAGCTACACAGGTTGGCACACACAGCAACAGAATTTGGGAACAGCACAAAGTATATCTTTTTTAAAGGTACCCCAGTCTACGCTAGAGAATAAAGACAACAGCTTACTGGTTTCCCACTGTTCCCAGTTCAATAAGAAGATGACCCAAGAGAGGGCCAGAAAGGAGCAAAGCCTGACATTGCTGGGATGCTCTAGAGTCATGCACCAGAGCCCAGGAAGCACATCCCAAGCCCCACAGCAGCAGGAAGGCAAGAAAACAAGGACTGCACCAACATCACAGCAAAAACCTCCAGGGGAAAGCCAGGACAGCTCAGGGACACTCAGCAAGCAGCTCTTCCTCAATGACCAGCAGCTCCAAACAGACTCAAGCAGGTACGGACACGCATCCAGGCTGGAGTCCACACAAAGCAGGCATTAGGCAAAGGCTCAAACGTTATCAGCACAAAACACAGCAGCTTCTGTAGCTAAGCCCCCAGGCAGAGGGGTTTTGGATGCTTTTTGATAAATCTCTCAACCTGTCAGAGACTGAATGCAGGACACCAGCCCTGCAAAAACAAGAGAAACTCCTCACTGCAAGTGGCTGATGAGGAAGGGGTAGAGGCAACAGTTCAGAGACACATCTGAGATGCTGATTTCATCGAGGTGGGATAACAACTGAGAGCTGGAAACACTAATCTGCTTTTAAGAGTAATTATCTTTTGGTGTGTTTCATTCCTGTGAAATGTGCTTTTGCATGAAACCAGCTTCTCTGGTTCTTCTAAGTTCAGAAACTCTTGCAACTTAGTGCCACCCAACCTGGAGACACAATCCTCCACCTGTGACACTACAGTGTGGCTGGGAGGCCAGAAAGTAAAGGAGCCACAAGAACATGGCAAACAAGGAATTGAGATCCCACTCCCAGACAGCCACCTTGACAATTTAGGCGAGTGAGGAAGAGCTGGGATGAGTTCTGCAGTCCATTCTGCAGGAGACATCAGCCCCCCCTGTGTAAAGCCAGGGTTCGGCATCACTCAAATCAGTGGGATCTGACTCTGGCTTCCCGAGGAACTGAACTGAGCCTCTGAATGCAGGGACCCAACACTCAGTAGGATGCAAAGCAAGTCGTGTCCCAAAGGCAGCGGCCGGACTGAAGCTGAGGTGAGCAGGTGAGCGGGTGAGCGGGTGAGCAGGCTCCTTCCCCTCCTCCTTACCTTCGCAGCCGGTGCTGGAAGTGCTGGTGCTGCCGCGTTATAAGGGCACTTTCCCACACGGGGCCACCGGGACTGCTCCTATACCAGCCCACGGCCGGGTGCCCCGGGTAGGGCGAGCTACCGAAGCCATGGTCCGACTCCGTCTCTGCGGCCAGCGATGAGGCAGAGCTCCCCATGGTTCCCCCCTGCCCAGGCCACGCTGAGATTGAGCCTAGGTTAGGTCCAAGCCAGTGGCATGGGCAGATCAGGTGGAACGGGTGAGGCGCTGCGGCATGGGCTGCTGCAAAGATCCCAGCACGCTGGACAAAGGAAGGTCGGTTCTGATCAGAGTTGGGAAAAAAAACAACAAACAAACACAGAGAAAGGGGAAAAAAAAGGAAAGAAAAAGAGAGAAAGATAAGGTATGATTTCAGCAACAACCCTCCAGTTTTAAAGCCTATCAATGCATGCTCTGATCAGAGTCCCCATCGCAGAGCTCACTGGGAAGGGAAGGGCTGTGCCACTGAATCCAGCTTTTGCTGCTGGAGATGGGGAGTGTGGGGGCTCTGGAAAAGGCTCCTCCCAAGTTAAGCATCAGGACTTCCCAGGCACAGGGAAGTACTGACTGATGGAGGGAAGCACAGCAGAACCCAGCACAAAGCACTTCACACATGGGAAAGAAGCAGAAAATGGGACAAGCCAGGCCCACCTGAAGCCCAAACCAGCAGCCCTTGGGGACCACACACGCCAGGTTAGTCTGGGCTCTGACTGGCACACCAGTTTTAGTTACTCAGCTATAAGAACTGGATGGCTTGTGTACTTACATGTAAAATAAAACATTGCTCTTTTCCTGTTCCCCATTAACACCCCAGTAGGACTGGAACTGGACAGACTGGGGACCTGCAAAAGCATTTTCTGTGACTATTTACTTTCAGCCCAAGGCAAGTTTTAGCTGATCCTGAGCACACCCCTACCTACAGAAGCAGGTCTGGGGCTTTGCTCTTCCTTTTCTCTCTCTCTCTCTTTCCTACTTTTTGGAATTGATTCTTCAAGCATCCTCACAATTAAAATCCAGAAACCTTTCATGTCCTTTGTATTAAAAGAAGTTTAAACACACACACATATCTCCTTCAAGTGAAAAGGCAGGACAATCTGGATGCATGTCAGGAGCAATGGATCAAGGTAACATTTAACAGAGCAAAAAAGAAGAAACAAGGAAGATGGAAAAATTAGCACAGCTGAGCTTATTCAATTACCCACCAGGATTTAAGGAGATGAATGAACCACAGAAAGACCTTTGCGAAGAAACTACTCTTGCTGTAAAAAGGCTGAGATGAGGAGTCCTAAAATACAGTTTTTCAATCCCAGGATTGATCTAAGGGATCAAGAAAGGCCTTGACAGATAATAGACTCTCAAAAGCAGCAGCTCAAGGAACAGGTGCAATTTTGGTACAAGCTCAATACCAGAATGTGCCTGCATTACGTTATTAACTGGAGAATGTTAACTGCTCTGTCATTGTCTCTGCAGCCTGCAAAGCCTGGATGAACCAAACAAATCTGAAAAAAAGCCCAAGAACACAGTTTTCCCTACCTCCTCCTTGTTTTAATTGGGCTGCCTTCCTGCTGTGCGTCAGCTCCCTCATCCCCACTACCCAACAGCATGGTTTCACTGATTTCTGCACATCCAGCCGAAGTGGATCCCTGGCACATCCCCTCTCATTTCCTGCTATTCAAGCAGTTAATTTGTAACAAATCTGATTTTCTGCGTAAATGAAAGCCACGCGATATGAGGGGAAGAGCACTTCCAAATATCATCAGCTCAGTCTATCTGGAGATATCAGTCATCCCACACCTGTGTTATCTCTGGCTCTTCTGCCCCATGCCAGGAGCCCTATGTGCTTCAGCAGCAAAGGCACAGGGGATGCAACTCTGACACCTACTAGAACAAATTGTCTCTTAACTCAAAGTCCCAGGTTCTATCATGATAAAATAGGTAAGTAAAGGCAAGATGGGTAGAACAGCCCCTCACTCCAGGCTGAGCCAAACAGAGGAAGGATGCCCAGGTGTCAGTAGCCTTTTTTCCCCTTGAGTTGGGTTAAACTGCCACAAAAAGCAATTCCACAGCCTGGTCCAAGGCCACTTCCTCAAGCTGGTAAAGCAGAAACCTTTGCTTCCTCCTGCTGCCCATGGAAACACCAGTTTCAGCTCATCCCAAGAGGAGACAGACATGACAGACATGCCTGCTGCCCGCATCGCTGCCGGCTCCCAGCGCGGTGCTGCTCTCCCGGCCCGTCTCCTCCGCCAGCTCCACACCGGGAGCCAGAACAGGCAGCTCCTCTCTGCACGGAGGGGAAAGGCTGGGAGCCCTGCTTCAGAACCTGCAGTAAAACCCCATGGTGGGTAGAGTTGGGAGAGGAAGGGAGCTATAAATAGGTGGAGGATAACCTAGCTAAGTCTGAGTGATCTCCGAGACTGTCTGGTCTAACTGGGCTGCTTGGCTGTGAGTGCTGCGTGAAATCGGATTTCTCCAGGCAAAGCAGTAAATCCTTCTCCTCAGGGTCATCCTCATGCCAGGTGAGAGCAGCCAATGAATGATTTTGAAGGGGGAGCATTGACCAAAGGTGGGGAGAAGGCAAACCAGTCTGAGAACAGGAATGGCAGCAGTGTTACAGCCCAATGCAAAGCACCTACGTGCTCACCATGCTGAGCCTCAAAACACCTTTGGCCAGCACTAAACAAATGAGGCGCCTCCAAAAAGTCAAAGTGAGAAAGGAAACTGCACCCCAGAAAGGGGAGGGGTCAATTAAAGAAGAGGAAAGCCACTCTGGAAGCACTCAGCCTTATTTTTGAGGAATTTCTGCCATTGGGGCAGGGAGATGCCCCAGGAGATGACCTGCAGGCACGTGGCTGAACAGGGGAGGCTTCAGTCACTAAAAGGGAGCAAACTGCCAAGAGTTCCTCTGTCTTGGCAGGAAGGAGCAGGATTTTTCCTCAAATTAACAAAGCACTGCTTCCACATGTCTAATTTGGAGGGGAAGCAACAATGTTAAGAGATTGAAGTATCTTGAGAAGGGTGGCTCTCACTCATGGAAATTAACACTTAAGCACCTTAGCAAGACGCTGAGTTTGGATTTTGGTTTTCTGCCCCTCCTGAGTGTAATAACTACCAGGTTTGAACTGATACTGTGTAACTGCTCCCAAAATATCAATTCCAAAATGAAAACAAGTTTGATCTCACCACCCCCAAGCCACTGACAGCTCTTTATCCTGATCTGTGATACATGATGCAGGCCCTTCCTCCAATTCTCCACCAGACCCTGGGCAGCAGGCATGTACAGCGTGTGCAGGACAGCACAGCTATTCCATGGAGCTCCTCCTGGTGCCAGGACAGCAAAGCAGCTGCCTGGATGCTTCCACATACCCTTGTTCCTCCACACCAGTGAGCAGTGCTGACCCTTTGGGCCCCAGCTCTCATGTCACAGCAGAGCAGGCAGGAAGGGTGGGAATCTACCCAACCCCCTTTCCTTCTCTGCAGTTTCAAAGCAGGTTTTGGCTCTGAAGAGAGAAAAAAAAAAAAAAAAAAAAAAAAAAAAAAAAAAAAAAAAAAAAAAAAAAAAAAAAAAAAAGAGAACTAGCCCATGTGTTTCAATGCATCTAAGAAGTTGCAAGATCAACTTTTCCTAGCATCAGCCCCAAGCTCTTCCCTTTGGCACACAGCAGGAAGAAGAGACAGAGGTCCCTGGAGCTGCTGCAGCCACTGAGGAAACCAGTGAGGCCGACTCACCCCAGCTGGTCCCACGTGCAGCAGCCCCTCTTTGTGATGGGATACCCTCACACTCCTTTTCCTAGTAATTTATTGATCCATGTGGCATGAGCCAGCTTTGCTCCTGATTGAATTTTCCAGCCTCTCTTGGTTCTCAGCCTTGGAAACTCCGTGACAAGACTCTGCCATTTCGTTAATTCCTCCACTCCCCCAGCCCATAAATCTAGTCAATTCTGAGCTACTCCCGTGCTCCAGGGAAGACCCAGGAATGAAAATACCATCAGACATACTGAACTCCAGACTGCTCTGGTCTGAGGTGAGGGCCAGGAGCTGGCCCAGGAGAATGCTCACCATGTACCTGAGGGAAATACATCCCTCAAAGCTGTACCTAGAGGAAGCTGCAGGAGACTTTCTTCTAAGACTGAAGGTGAAGTACCAGCCCTTCTCCTCCCTCTGCTATGTGAGCTCCTTTGCCTGGGGGCTGACTAAGACCCACAGAATGTCCTGAGTTGGAAGGGACCCATAAGGATCATAAGTCCAACTCCTGACCCTGCACCAGGACTCCTCAACAATGACACCCTGTGCCTGACAGCATTGTCCAAACACTCCTGGAGCTCTGGCAGCCTTGGGGCCATGACTATGCCCAGGGAAGCCAGATGTGCTGGGACCTGGTACCATTGTCACCAGCAAAGGAGGAGCTCTCTACCTTCAGTCCCATGTAAGCAGCTGCTGGCAGGGAGAAGCCAGGGCTCCTGAACAGCTCTCACTGCCGAGAACCCACACACAGCCCTGTGGAGGAGCAGCCTCCTCCCTGGGGACTGCAGGATGTGACACACCCTTAAACACCAAGGAGCTCAGGGACAGCTGGAGGAGCTGGGGCTATGTGGGGGCATCGAGCTGGAGGAGACCACTTCAGACATGCTGAAGGAATGGCCAGCCCTTGGCCTCCCATCAATCCTGCCTCCATGCACAGCAGATCTCCCCTTCAGAAGGCACATGCTCAGAGAGGCCAGGGTAAGCAGGAAATGGTGTGCAGGGCTGGAAGGTGCATAGCACCAGATGTGGCAGCCTAAGAAGGTCACAAAGTGCCAGAGCAGGTTGGGATAGCTAAGAACACAGAGGGAAGTGTCTGATGGTGTTATGCTAGCCAAGGAAAGGAAAGGAGCTCAAGCACTTGTGTGATCTAGCCAGCCCTCAGCTCCAGGCAGGGTGGCAGGACCTGAGGATGTACACAACCAGGCACCAGCAGCAAGAAGAGCATGGCTGGAATTCACCAGGCTGAGATGACTCTGAGGAAAGAAATAACTCCAGGAGAGGAAGGGAAAAATCCTCTTTTTCCACAAGGCAGCAGGGGAAGAGCAGACAAGCAACAAGACACCCATCTCAGGCAGAGACAGCACTGAAATCTAAGCTGCAAACGCTGATCCAATGAGAGCTCCACGGCTCAAGTGCAGCAGGAGCAAGCGAGCTGGAACACTCTGTGCTGAGCAGGTGTCATGCACACAGCTGGGGACAAGACAAAGTTTTGCTGCTCTTTCTCCCTACCCTCATCTGCCAAGCCAGTCCAAGTGCTGCAGTCTTGGCAGGAAATGAAGGTGTCAGCAAGTTCCAATGCCTTGCAAAGCTTCTAGCAGGGCAGGGTGGGAAGGCACCTCCAAGGACAGACTGAGGCAGGGGTGTAACTGGAGGGATGGGACAGTGGATGGCACATTCAGCTGGGATGGGGAGGCTTTTCCAGCCCTCATGCTTCATAGAGAGCTCCCTGGGGTTCTGTGACTCAGAAAGCTCTGCCTTACCTGCCTGGGCCAAGGAGTCTTCAGGTGTGCAACGTACAAGGATGACAGGCAGTGTGCAAGCACTGCAGATGGGAGGACATAGAAAAAGGAGAGAAGAGTGCAACTCACCCCCCCAAATGTTCATTCTGGGGCAGAGGGCTGAGGGAAGAAAATCAGATATTCTGGCCTTGCAGGAAACTGAGGGGACAGGAAGCTTTAAGTGAGCTGTTTTCCAGGTCTTGGTGAGAAATAAGAGCGGTACACCACTTGCAGAGATATCACTAGCTGAAGTGAACTGTCTGGAAGCAGATTTCCAGATGGGCTATTAATGAGGTAACAAGATAATTGAACCTGGAGTCCCAGACCAGCACAGAGCAGGATCTCATGCTCCATGCTACAAAGTCCAGAACAGCAGCACATGTCTCTGGCCACAGACATCAACATGCAAAGGCAAGCTTGAGGGTCTTTACCTTTTTTTCAGCTGCCTTGAAACTGGTTCTGGCCCAACTTTAGCCCAGGAGAAACTCATACACAGCAGCTGAATTGGGCTAAGCTGCATTTAATGCCCAGCACTGACTCTTTGTAAGTGTGCAGGCAGAGGAAGAGGTGTCTGAAGTGTGAAGTGAAAGATTGACAAGAAAAGTAGATGTATTGCAGAGGCAGCTTAGCCACAGAGCAACTACAATCAAAGTCTGAACAAAGTTTCTTCTTGTCACTTGCACTGGACACTGTAAACCAGTGACAGATAATCCAGGGAGCTACTGGAAATCTATCCCGGTCACTTTGAGAGAGGGCATTACACAGATCTGAAAGGGCAATCAGCATATTAATCACAAGCTGGAGGGAGAAAAAGAGGAGAAGCAGGAAGGATTTTTCAAAATAAGGGTTAACGTCAAACCTCATCTCCACTGACAACTGCAAAGCAGTTTCGGAACAAGCGTGAAAATGGCAACAAGGGCACTGCTGCAGAAGGGTCTGAGTGCACACACGTTGTGAAAACCCACACAACGAAATCCTTCCAAACTCAGTGCTCTATTAAGTCAATTAACACTGCTCCATTGAAGTGCAACGAGCCGCGTGTATCCCGCAATTCCCGGCCAATTGTGGGGGACTCCAGAGCTCAGCGCGGCGTGGGTGGGCTGGCAGGGCCCTCTCAGCACCAGCAGCAGCGAGGAAATGTCACAGAGAGACTCACAGAGGAAGGAACAAAACAACACAAGCCACAGCATCCAATCCCGGGAAGCTTTACCAGTAGATCTCATTTCCAGATCTTTTCCTCCCCGTGTTTATAATCCTTGCAGCCGAGTTCTGCCATCCTACTCAGTTCACAGGCGGCCCCAGCTACAAAAGATGTCAGGCTGAAAAATCACCTCGACAGACTGCCTGCTGAGACCAGTTGCATTATAAAAACAGGAAGCTCTTGGCTGCCTGCTCCCAATATGCTGTGAATTGAATGGGAAGGAGCATACGCAGGGATGCTTTGCAAGAAGAGCACACACATGGGACTCTTGCCAGGAAAAATGCATCTTGAGTAACACATGTGCTCTTAGTTTCTTCTTTTTTCAGAAAGGTTTAACTACACTCTGAGCTACCCGGCAGCAATAAACCACTTTTTTCCCCTCTTTCTCACTTACAGCAGAGTGTTGCTTGGTAAACAGCAGATCTTCCTGTCTGAGGCTCTGCCAGCCTGTGCTGAACAGAACTGTTGTTATTGCACATTCACAGCTAGAGATAAACATGAATAAGAGCCACGAGTAAGAGCCAGGCACTGGTTCTTCAATACACTGCTTTATCAGGCTCACCTTGATTCAAATATTTCTGACACCTCTCCCTCCTGAAGGGGCAAGGTGGCACAAGTAGCAAGGACAAACATTAAAAAAGAAGACAGAAATGACAGCAGCACATAAAGTGCTCTTCTGTACTCACTAACATTTACAAACTATGCAGCTCACAGCTCCACCTGCACTTGAAACACTCAAAAGCACAAGGAAACAAATGGGCCCAGCCAACCCAGGCTGCCCAAATGGGAAAACAAAACAGCACATTTCTCAGGACAAATCTCCATCCAGAGCCACAACTGCAGGACATAAAGGTTACAGAGAACCAGGAATGGGAAAAAATGTGCAAGTCATCATCTCATCTGCAAGCTAACACTCTGCAATGACACAGGCACAACAAAGCAACCCAGGAAAAGTGGACACTGGAAGTGTCAGGAGGGTTTCTAACCTTTCCGAGAGCAGATCTCTGGATCAGCTGCTCCAGAAGCACTGGGGAAAAAAACACAGCATGAGTTCCAACAATTAGCTCCTGAACAAGTTCATGGCCTGCATGAGATGACTGCCTGTCTTCAGCAGCATGGAACTGGACTTGATGACCCATTAAGTTCCTTCCTCCCAATCACTCAGCAACCCAAATTCATAGAGGCCCAGACATAGCACAAACACAAGGTCATTCCCAAAAGGACACCAGGGATTGTATCTTTAGATCATGCTAAGTTGACAGGTAAGCAGATGAAGGGCTGGCCACTGCAGAAGGGAGGGGAAGAGAACTGCAGCAAGAAACAGTCTCACAGCCAGTGCACAGACTTGGAAAGCAAAGCCTGAGAGGCAGGAGGTGGAGATGTCCCCTGAGCACACTGTCCCCAGACACTCCAGTCACAGCTTTAATTCTAACACAGATTACACAGACAGTAAATATATCATCTCCACAAGACACATCCAGTTACATCCCTGCTTAGAGATAGCTCCAGTCCTCACTGCAGTGTCCTGCCCAAGCCACACAGGCAGCAGCACCTGGCTGTCTCCGTCTGCCATTTTAATGCAATTTGGCCTTCCCTGGCATTCATCAGGTACCATGTCCCAATTTCCAACCAACTGGCCTAGATTTAAGCCAACACATCTCTAGCTGTGCCTCAGGCAAGCACAGAGGTGGAAAAAGTCTGTCAGACAATGGTGCCATTTGGCATTTCCATCACAAACAACCAAGAGACAAAAGCACAAGAATTGCTGAGAGCTGCACAAGAGGCTCCTGCCTTCCCCAGAGCACAGGGAACCAGGAGAGAACAGGAAGCTGAGACAGACTCAGGGGGCAGAGAGGAAGTTCCTCATCTAGAATCAGAATGACAAAATGCTTTGGGTTGGAGGGAACCTTAAAGCCCATCTCCTACCATCCCCTGCCATCTTCCACTATCCCAGGCTGCTCCAAGTTCCATCCAGCCTGGCCTTGAACATTTCCAGGGATGGGGCAACCACAGCTTCTCTGAGCAATAGGGAAGCACAGCTCAGCACAATCATTTAATGAGAAAGCATCACATTACTGCTCACCACCTCTCCACCTCCAGGTGACACCTGAAAAACACATCAATCTTTCTGCACACTGATATGGCAGCCATGCCATTGCTTCTGTTAGGAGATCATACTGTATTGAAATTAGAGGTGAGGAATAACACCTGGTACAAGGAAGTGATACAAACAAAACAGTACCTGAGACCACCACAACCCTCCCCTCTCCTCACCAGAGTAATTTTACTGGCTCACTGTCCCATCACAAGTGGCTCCTCTTTAGCTACACCATGATAGGATGTAGGATGTGTTCAATTACACACACCTTAAGCAATATTTTCTGGGAACAGTCATTTGAACAAATACAAGGGTCACATGAGGAAAAGGCTGTACTCTGAGAGGGCTGAAACACAATGCAGGTGGTTTGAGTAATGGTGGAGCAAAGCCAGCCAGCCACGAGGGGTACCTTCAGCACAGGGAGGGAGCTGAGCTTTAACCAAAGGCTGCTGACTGCATCCTGAAACCAAAGGGCATATGGAGAGGAGATCATGTTACTGGAGTCATTCCCACATGCCTTGCAAGACACATCCACAGGCCTGAGCCTTGAGTGGCGCTGCAGACCCCCAGGCTCCCTCCAGCAGGCTCTTCTTGCTAAGACAGGGCAAGGTCAGGCAACAGGAACAAGGGCAGGAGCTTTTGAAAGACATTCCAAGGCTGTATCAAAACAGATCCAAGAGCAGGAACGCCACCTCATCCCTCTCACCCAGTGGAAGAAGCTGTGGTGGAGATCTGGCCAACATCTGCCTGGTGACAGTCACCACTCAAACACCAGGGTGCTCATGGCCCAGCTTCACTGACCAAAGCTATGAGAGGCTCCTGCAGACCTTCTGCTGTGGCTGGACATCAACAACACACAAAGAGTCCAGCTACTCCATGAACAACTAGCCAGACCAGATGGGCCACCACACAGCAAGCACCAGTGTCCATCTGATTAATCCAAAGCCCCAACCTGGATGAGGCCATGTCAACCTGGATCATCTGAATCCAAGAACAACGTCATCACATGCTGCAAATGCATCCTGACGGTCCAAGCTCAGACTGGCTTCCCACCACCTCGTCCTGCCTCCACAGCCCAGCCTCTGAATGCCCAGGCTGAGAGCAGCCCAGCCACACAAGGCACAACAGTCACCTCTCTGTCCCAGTGGGCTGGGAACTGCCACAGCTCTGTGGTTACTGCAGGCAAAGCTGTGCAGAGTTTCTTTGATTACTGCCCTGCCCTTGCACTGCCTCAAACACACCCTGGGACAGTCATGCAGTTTCCACTGCCTAAGGTGCTGGAAGACCCCACACTTTCTCTTCCACTTTAACAGTTCCTTCTTCACCATGAGAAGACCAGAGGACATTAGTATCCCCACCCATTTGAGCATGTAGCCTTCACTCAGACAGCACAGGAACACTCAAAAGAGGAATTCAAACAAGGAAGAAAGACAAGAACAAGAGGCATGAGAGACACGAAGCAGGGTAACTGTGCTCACAAACCAGAGAGAGAAGGTCTCCTTCCTTCCAGCCCCTCCCAGCCCAGCCCAGTGCCAGCTGAGTCAAAAAAGCCTCTCACCCAACACAATTCCTGCTTGGCAGGTCCAGTGCCAGTCGCTGCAGGGTCAGCCTGGTGTCCCTGGTCCTGAGCGGCCGCTGCTGACACCCGCTGAGTGGCCCGGCTGGAGGAGCATGCTAGAAGGTCCCTGCACCGAGCACTGGGAGCACACCAAGGAAGGAGCAGCTGCTGTTCCAAGCTGCTGGACAGAGAGCGAAAAAAGGCACATAAGAATAGATAGATGACTGCTGAGACTCCAGGCCCATCAGCATGGCATCAGCAGAGACAACCAACCTCACATTTTTGGTCCCTCAATCAGCATCCCCTTGGACTCCAGCTCGCAGAGCTTCCCATGACATCCAGCTGGAGCTTGGTCCTCCCAGGCGACAGCTTTTGGGTCAGCTCAGACTCTTCACTCGTGCTCTCAGAACCTTTGGCTGCGACTTTATAGTTCCGTGCCCACCACTGGCCTCCCTCCCTGCCAGCAGCTGCTGCTCAGCATCCTGGTGGGAGCTGTCATCAGAGCAGGGAAGGGCACACCTTGGGAGCACAGCGGGATGGAGCAGAGCACGATCGCATGGAGGAGGACTCTGGACAGCTCTCGGCAATTAGCAACAGGGCAGGATCTCCCGAGGGGCCGGATGGGAACGCAGCGATGTCTGGCGGGGCACGCTGCCTGAATGTTCAAATACAGAAACAGATGTTAATTACTCTGCATAGCCAGGACATCATTACCAGCTACATCTCTTGGAGATTCTGAAGTACAAATTCCTCTGATTATGCCAAACATGCCCATCCCACCCCCAGAAGCCATGACGTTTGAGTAGTTGCCTCGGCAAATCTCCCTCCTCTGAAATATTTCCCCTTCCTCCTTCATATTCTCTGCTCTCAAAACAACCTGTTTTAATGAAATTCCTGCTTTGGGAAAGTGCTGTCTCCTTTGGGATGGGCTTTTAGCAGATGGAGGCAACAAGAACCTTTGTCCCTGTGTGTCTGGCTCTCCAGCACACTCTCACTTCCTCTGTTTTAGGTTGGGGAAGGAGGACAAAAATAAGGATTCAGCTGGCACCATGTGATCAGTGAGCCTCTTTAGCAGCATGGCAGAGTAAGAGACCCCGTTCTGCCCCCTCACCTTGCTCACCATCCCCACAGCCACACTATCAGATGCAGTGTGATGCCCCTGGGGTAGGTGATGATGAGCTCACAAAAAGCTTTTCTCTTCCAGCACTCCCCAACTCTCACAATTCCAGGCAGGGGGAAGAAGATGCCCTGTGGTGAACACCTGGACAGGTGCTGCTAACAGAACCAGAGCAGCAGAGGGTGGGTGTAGAGAATGGACCAGGAACACCACTCAGGACCAGTAATGACTAAATAAGGGACTGATTCAGGAACCTTTCGGGTTCAAAAGGACCACCCTGATCCTTTTAGCCCAAGGGTCTTGGCAGCTACACAGGAATTCCAGACCCACAGCACATCCAAGGCACTCGCTGAGCTGCTCCCTCACTGAAAGGCTGGATATTCACGACAGCTAATGAGGCAATGAGACCAACACCAGCAGACAGAGCACCCCCCAGGTGCCACATCACATCATTATCCTTGCACATTCCATGGGATAGGAAGGGAAAGCACTCAGCATCCAGCAGCTCAAAACACACCTGCTGGGCAGGGCTGGAATTCCAAGGACTTCCCGAACTCTGCCTGCTGGCCAGAGTCTGCAGGAAGCAGATTGACAAGGGGCAAGCTGGAGAGCTCGATCTTGACCACATCAGTGCTGCAGCCTGTGTGGATTGTGGATGGCCACAGCAGAGGACAAAGCTCAGCATACAAAGACCCTAGTGCTGTGTTCCCACTTCCACAAGCCAGCACAAACACAGAGGATTTGCTGCCAGCAAAGTAGTCCATGAGTAACTTTCTCTGCAAACCTTTTGTTACAGGAGCAGAAGGACACGAGTTGGGAAGCTGCCTGTGATAGCCTCAGTAAACTGAAATCACCAGGCCTGGGACTGGGGACAAGATGATGAAGAGGAAATTTTGGTGCCACTAGAAGCATCACATTATAAATGCAGCTGGGCAGCATCACTGGAGGACAACAGGTTTTTGTAAGGTCTTGGTCACTATTTCACCAAATTAAGAATGCACTGATAGCCCTGAGAATTGGTCAAGGGTTGCTCACACCAGGGCTGGGACAGGACACCAGCTCAGTCCCCTGACACAGTGTCACTGTCACCATCCTTGATGCTGAGCCTACTCAGGCCCACAGCATTTCCTACAAAAGGGGCTGCACTGCAGGAACAGAAAAGCTCTTTCTTTTTTTATGAACACTCATTAGAGTTTACATCGTTGGCAAAGTGTGGAGGCACGCATTTGTGGAGGAACAGAGATATGGTTCCAACACTGGTTTTAATGTGCAAGCCTAAAGACTCGGCTTCAGTTTTTAGAAATCAAACTTGATCATCTCAAGCTGGCAAAAATAGCCCCATGTTCCCTTGAGTTATTTTCTTTTAAAATAGGCAGGGTACAGCACAATAGGAAATATCAGCAGTTATGTATTCAACCTCCAGAAACCCAATAGGCCAATTCCAGCAACCCACGGCAGCTTTCCAATCCTGCCTGATCTATTTGCTGGAGTTAGTCTGAAAAGCAGGCTGCCCCCAAGCCATTCAGCAAACTCCACGTCCCGCTAATTACATCAATATAAATGTATTATCTTGGCTGTCAAACAAGGACTGCCTGAACAGGACAAGGCTCTGCCATGGAAATGCAGGAAAACAATTGCTCTTTCTGCTGGTGACACATTTCTCTGGATCCTATTTCCTTGCCAGGGCCCCCCCTTCTCCCTTCTGCCCAGGCATCAGGGCACCAGCGTTTCTTTCTTCCAGTGCAAGAGGAAATGGCACACAAAACCCCTCCTCATCCTTTGAGCAATTGAACACAAATGAATTTTGGGAACACCACCAGCATTTCCTATCAGCCAACCTGAGAGCTGCCAGCACACAGGGAAGGGAGCCGTGAGGGCAAGAGTTAAATGTTTCTCATGAGCAGGGAGCAGCTCTCCTGCCTCTCTTGGCTTCCTCAGCTGCCACTGCCAAACGCAAGGCAAGTGTCAACACTCCAAACAGCAAATGTGACAGAAATTCGGAGCAGCCTGCTCCTCCCTGCCCAGCTGGGTGACTGTGGCCTGGAGAGGAGGGAGCCTCTCAGGAAGGTTCCAACAGCAAGCAGCAAGGTTGAGGCGAACACAGGCAGATGCAGAGGCTTCCAGGGAGCAGGGAGGCAGCTCACTTCACTCCAGAGAGTGGGATTATGACGGAAAATGAGGAGGAAGCCACTGACTCACCTGGCCCATCCGCATAAGCAGCTTTCCCACCAAAGGCTGCACTGAGTGTGATCTTGATCAGAGCCCCAAGTTCCAGCAAATCGGGGGCTCACAAGGTTCTCCCCAGCTCTGGGCACTGGGAGAAAGTCATGGTGGTAGGACACTGGGTTGACACACAATGTCCAAATATGCCTCCTCTGACCAAAGGCAGCCACAGTCCCTCACTCCAGCTTCGCCCTGCTTCATAAATACCCCACTTGGAGAAATGCCACAGGGTCTGGTTCTTCCCAGACCCCTCTGCTCCCAGGAAGGGTCAGAACAAAGCCCAGAAAGAACAAGCCCACTCATTCAGATGAAGTGGGAAGATGGGAGGAAAACAGCATTTCTCTACCTAGGAGCAGATTATGAATTCTACCAGCAGGATCAACACGGCCGTAGACACAGGGCACATGCTGAGTCTCTCTCTAGGTCTCACATGCAGCTAGTGAAAACTTGGAAATCTCCCACAAAACCTCTGGGACAGAGGAGAGCAGCATGTTTTCCATGAGTTAAAGCCAACTTCACTCAGCTGGCTGAGGGAACACCACAGGGCTGGGGCCACTTCCCTCTGCAAAACCAGAGGAATTCCGAGCAAAGATAAAGGGTGTCCAGAGCAAAGACAAGGGGTGAGCAAGGAGAGTGAGGGGTAATCAGTGCATCTGCTGAGGGCATCCAGGCTCCTCTATGAGGTCACCCAGCCCTTCCACCACCACAAGACAGCTCTGAGTCTAGGCATAACGCCTGACCTTTTATACATGCAACTTTAGCACTTTTGGGCTGTTTTCCAATATTTATTCTGATTCAGGAGACACCACACCTGGCCCACACCTCCAGTTCCCTTATGCACCAAGTCATCAGGCTGGAGGAGGTTGCTCTCCCTCCTGCCAGAACAACCGGGCTTAGCAAACCCAGCCAGTCACATCCAACCTTCAAAGGCCTCTCCAGCCATTCAACCCCTCCCTGGAAGAGAGCGATGTTGGGTCTTGCCTTCAACTGTTAAAGCTGAAACTGTTAAACTGAAGCTGATGCAACTTAAATGAATTAATATCTCCACACACATAAAATCAGGGTAATTTGAATCATGCCTTGGAGAGGTAATACTCAGACAGAGCTCAGCCCTGCGCTGGTGCACTCAGGGGCACAAGCCAAACTGTTCAGCAGGATCTCAAAAAATGGCCAGAAGAAGCCACCAGCAGACTCTCAGAGTCACAAGCAGCCAGTCTGTGACCACAGGTCTGCTCCAGTTTACGGAAGAGCAGAGCCCTGAAGCACAAGTCCCTCTGAGTCCCAGGTGACAATGTGCAAAGCATGGCAAGATCTCTCCATTAAGAGCCACAGCCTGGGATATGTACCCTCACCTCCACCTTGGCTCCCTCCAAACACCTCTCCCAGTCTCCATCAGCTCTTGACTGACTCACAGCAGTGCAGCACTGTCCTGCACCAGTGCCCCAGGCCACGTGCAGCGAGCAATTCCCACATAACCTTCTGACCGACCATGAGAACCCACCCAGCCGCATCCCGGGCCTGCAGGCCGAGGGAGCGCCAAGCTTCACTGAGATTCCCAGCTTGGAGGAAACAGTATGACATTTCAAACACAACGTTCACGTTATCCCATCTCCTTCAACAGGCCCACGGATGATCACCCTGAACAGTTGTTTCCTAGCGCCTGGGGGGATGTACCCCAGAGGCAGGGAGAGGAGAGAGCTCAGTAAATTGAGAGGCTGGCAAGTACAAGAGCTTTTTCCATTTTAAGACTTCTGTATCAAGGACCTCGAGGCTGAGATGGCTTCAACCGCAGCTAAGCTGACAAGCAGCAAAATCCAGGAGTCTTGATGAGACACCGGGACCCAACAGCCTTAGGATGTTCAAGACCCAAGGATAAGAGACAGCCAAGTGATTCTAAAGGGCAAACTCGCAGAGACTTGAGAAACTGCGTAAAACCCCGCTCAGCCCCAGCACGGGTGTCTAAGCTGGAGGCGAGAGTGAAGAACTGCAGGACAGGCAGCCCGGGGCGCTGAGGGCTCTGCCGTGCTCCAGCCCGGAGCCGGCACTCGGCGGTGCCGCAAGCGAAGCTCCCCTGCCCGCGGCAGGAGCCGGGAGCGGCGATCCCGCGTGGCGAAGGCAGGTCGGGCACTGCAGCCTAACGCGGGCAGCCACGGAGCCGCCCCGTCTCCCCCGGCTGCTGCACGACCCTCAAGCCCGTTAAAACCCCTCCGGCTGAGCGGCCGGGCCGCGGCGCGAGCGGGACCGCCGCCGCTCCCAGCTCCCTCCAAAGCCCCGGGCAGAGCACCCCGGCCGCCGCACAGCCCCGAGCCGGGACCTCGGCACCGCCCGCCCCCCCGGGCCGCCCCGGCCTCCAGCCCCCACCGGCAACAGGTGGTGCGGGGCGGCCCGGGGGCGGCCG